GCACAAGAAATACCTCAAAGAATCAACAACTGGGATCTCATCTTATTGAAAAGTTTTTACACATCTAGAGAAATCGCTAACAGAGTAAAAAGAAAACCCACAAATTGGGAAAAAAATCTTAGCCAAGTGTCCTTCAGACAAAGGACTTCTATCTAGAACATATAAAGAGCTAAAAAAAAAAAAAAAAACAGCCTTCCCCTCAAATGTAAAGATGCAAGATGGCTTTCTGAATCCACCAATGTCCTTGTGTTTACTACAGGGAATTCCAGTCATAAGAAAAATCCCATCAAAATTAGCTGTCTCTATTATTCATTTACCCTGAAATACAGTATGTATAAAAAAGCAAGTGAATACTTATTTATTTATTCCTTATATAACTATATTTATAGTCCTGTATTAGTGTCCTAACAGCTACCAGGAGAGATCAGAGAATGTGGTTGTTTTAAAAATCACTACAAACTCATAGATTTTCATTTTGGACCACATAGTAATTGTTGCTGTTGTGATAATGATGATGATGATGGTGATGATGATGATGCAGTGCTGGGGATTGAGCCAAGTGTCTCGCAAAGGCTAAGCAATAAATTTCACCAATAAGCTACATCCCATTCATCTGCCCCAATTTTTTAAAAATTTATTTTGAGACAGATGCTTGCTAAATTGTCCAGGCTGCCTTCAAACTTACAATCCTTCTGTCTCTGTTTTCCTCATAGCTAGGATTATAGGTATGTACCACTATGCCTCCCCTAAATTACCAATATTCCTACTTTAGGCATGCTGGGATAACAAGTATGTGGCATGTTTTCTTCATGTTAAAATTTGTCCCATGTTTGGCCAAGTCAAATTAATGTCTGAGTCATTTAACATGAATCTAATAATGTTTGATTGCTCTCTCACTTTCAAATATAAGAAGACATGGAGATACAGAACAGTAGGCCTGGGTAGGCAGGTGCACATACTCCTTTGGGGGGCCATTGGACAGGAACCCTGAGACTCAGAACAATGGCCCCAGGCATGCAGAGTAATCAGCAAGACTGATAACATGAAAGTGTCTGAATCAGCAGACAGCAATGAACAGTTGGGCTACGGAAAACTCCACATCAAAAGACCAGTCCCAGCACCCCCACCAACTACAAGCCAAGATCAGCTTCACACCCAGCACAATTCCCATGGCAAACTTGCCTGAAATACACAGCACATTTCTGAGATCTGACATAGACACAATCACATAACTGTAAACACCAGAGGTATTTTATTACTTTAATTTTCACTTGTTTGTCTAATTGGCTATCCCTTTCCTGTCTGGTTAGAAGTTGTTTTGTTTTGTATTTTATGGTTATTTTTTAATCTTCTTATAGACCTTATTGTTTTTTATTTTAAAGAGAGTAATGAAAGAAAAAAATGAACAATAGCAACAAACCAACATCACGAACATAAACAAAACAAAACAAGACCATTAAAAGTGATACAAGGTTTCAAAACAAAATGATAGGAATTAACAGTGATTGTTATATTACATATTGTTATCTTCAGCTGTGTTGCTCAGATTACCAGATGCAAGAATAGAAGAATGTTCAAACCATTAAAGAGAATAAAATAATAATTATTAGATAAAACATTAGAGATAACACAGAGTTTAACTAGACAAGATGGTAGGAATCCACCAATGGTTGTTCCATTGTATATTATTTTCTTCAAATTGGTTGCTTAGATTACCAGATATAAGCATACAAAATTGGTCAGAATATAAAAAATTTTAAGCATTAACTGTTCCTTTCAATATACCCTCAGACATCACCAGTACAGTTATCCAAACTATTATTCATATATATATATATATCCTTCTTTCTTTCTTTCTTTCTTTCTTTTCCCCCTCATCCCAGTTGTTCCTTCCTTTGAGCAATTTCTTTCCCTTTCATATCCTCTATTGTACATTTTGAGTTTTACTTACTCTTCCAAGTTCCTACACCAGGAAGACAATATGATGTTTACACATGTGGGTCCGACTTATTTCACTTATGAGTATGGTCTCTAGTTGCATCCATTTACCTACAAAAGCTTTGAATCTGTGCTCTCTTCTTGTTTTTGTCTAATTCTTACTAGCCTTAGATTAACGTTCTTGCTGTTATCTAATAGCTGTTGTATAGTCTTCTCTTTTTCTCTTATTTTCTTTTTAGTTTCTTTGAGCTCTTTATCATAATTCACTATTTTGTCCTCAGTATCACACTTTGCCTTCACATTGGTCATTTTGGGAATATATGAATTCTATACAATTTTTTACTTCAGATATTTCTGTCTGATATCTTTTCAAGGATTTTATATCCTTGTTGAATCTGTCATTTAAATTTTTGAACTGTTTTGGTTAGATAATCCAATTTTTAAACTCTTTCTGAAATTCACTGTGGGCCTACTGAGTATAATTGCTGTAAACTTTTGGTTCATTTCCTCTTTTAAGCTCATCTATTTTCTTCATCCCTTCTAAGAATTTTTCTTAGATTTCTGATACCTGGTACTTGTTTTCACCTCCCTTTCTGGCACCTTGCTCTGCCTTGGGAGATTTGGGTATCTTTACATAGCTTCTATTTCCTTGTTTTCCCTTTGTTTTATTTATATCTGTATTTATATGTTTATATATATATATATATATATATACACACATATATATACTTTTTAAAATGATGTATGCCTCTCTCCTTTTTATCCTTTCTTTTTTTATGGGATATAGGTTACTGTAAGTTGGGGGCTAGTGACATGAGTAGAGTTTGTGGGGTTTTTTGTTTGTTTGTTTTTTGTTTTTTTGGTTTCTCTCCGGTACCGGGAACCAAACTCACAACCTTGTGCTTGCCAGGCAGGCGCTTTGCCGCTGAGCTAAATCCCCAGCCCCTGAGTTTGTCGTTTATACTGACATTTTTAGTAAGATGTTGCACTCCTCTGAATAATTTTCTGCTTTGTATGTCTAGTGCCAGTATTTGTTCATTCTGTTATTTACTTTAAAGGAGTATATCTCTGTCCTTGTGTTTTGCCAAAGGAAAAGTTTCTACATATTACAATGTCCATAGATTCAATGTTACAATACTTTTATGTGATAGTTCTTGCAGTTATTCTTCCCTCTTTTTGTATCTCCTATGCACACTACTGCAGTTTATTATTTTTGGTTGCTCTGCAGTTTGGAAAGTGAGGTGGAGTGGGGAGGATGGGAGGTGCTTGATTAATCTTACATGCTTATATCTGGTTATCTGTGTAACCAATTTGAAGATAACAATATGTAATACAACCATTATAAATTTCCTGTCACCTTGCTTGAAATTTTGTATCATTTTTATTGCTTGGTGTTGTTTTGTTTCATGTCTTTGTGTTTGTTAATTTGTTTTTGTTCTTTTCTCTTTAAAATAAAAAAGAGACAATCTTCCTTTAAGAAAGTATCTTCACGTGTTACTTCCAGAGCTACAGAGCAACTCTAGAAAGAGTGGCAACAGCCACAAGCTGGAGAGCAATGGAAAGCAGGTCACATATGTATAAATTTTATCGGGGCATTGTCCTTTCAGAAGTTCATACTGAATACCATGGTGCTTTCCCTGGAAAGTGGTTTTGAGATGCAGAGTTGCTGAAGACATGCTGCAATATGTTCATATGAAGAAAATCTGTGAATTTCAGTGATAGAGAAAATTCATTCATGTATGTCTTCTCAAGAAAAGGTTCATGCATTTGGCAGTTTATTTTGTCCAGACACCTACTACCAATTTTATTACTTTTCAATATAGATGACATACAGAACTTAAAAATAAAAGATTTATTTTAGCTCCTGGTTTCAGAGATTGATGTCAGTTGTTATTTGACTCCACCAGAGAAATACCATAGTGAAAGGAAATAAAGAAAAAAAGATAACTTTTATATGAGAACCAAAAAGGACAGAACAAAACAGGTTACTGAGAGGAAGGAGGAGGCAGAAAGCCACACCTCCATGACAACCAGACGCACCACTAGTGTGCTCCACTAGGATTTGATGTACATCTCACGCCAAACAAAACATTAATCGAGAGTATCTCAGGTCTTCAGGTAATATTTTCCTTTTAGCAATACTAATGTGTTGAATGAAGGAGAGTTTCATCTTTTGAAGAGGGAACTACAGGGCACAGAGAACTTACAATCTTAGGTTTCCCTGCCTCAATACCAGGAACTGTGTTTATCCAGTAATTGTATGCCTTACTGATATGTATTTTCTTGGTTTGAAACGAGTAAATCAAGAGTTACAAGGCTGGGGACTTAGCTCAGCGGCACAGCGCCTGCCTGGCAAGCGCAAGGTCGTGAGTTTGATTCCTGGTACCGGGAAAAAAAAAAAAAAAGTTACAGTATGAAACTCTTGCCCATGAAGGCAATCACCTTATTCATAATTTCTTACCTCTTACAACAGCAGGGCTTCCCTCTCTTCCTGTGTGTCCTAGCCTTGCTTGGACTCATGACGTTCTCTCATAGTGATTTCTCCATGGCAAATTAACTCTGGAACTCTCTTAGCACATGTATGATCCTATTTGAAAGCGCAAACACAAGAACAGCCCCGAGTCCAGTAAGAAGACTGGAGTAACCAGGCATAGTTGTGCATCCCGGTAAACCCAGCCCTGGAGAAGCAGGTATAGGAGTGTAGGAGGATCGCGGTGTGTGAAAGACCAGGCTGAGCTACATAGCGAGTTCAAGAACAGACTAAATTACATAGCAAGACCCTGCCTTAGAAACAAACAAACAAACAAACAAAAGAAAATGACAGCAGCGCCTCTGGAAAGCCAGGAGTAAACTCTGCTTAAACGCAGGTTAGAACAGGTCAGCATCGTGGCTGAGAAATTGGGTGAGAAGTGTCTGGGTCACAATCTCGCATTTGAGCGCCACTCACACTGGTAAGGATTTCCTTCTGCTGTCAGTCTCAGCTCAGAGGACGGGCGACGGAGCAGGAGCCAATCAGTGTTGAGGGGGCGGGCTGTATAAACTGTCCAATCGGGTGGCCCAAGAGAAGAAGGCTGTGTTTTCTGGCTTCAAAGACTAGACCCTGATCGCAGTGCTGAGAGCTGCCCGGGCTCGATAGACCGCCTTGCTTTAGGATTTCTACTGGCTGCAGACTGTGTGGGAATCACCCAGAGAGACCCTCCAGCCACGCAATGGTGACGTTGTGGGATGGGTGCCCTGCTTTGGACGAGACGGGGAGGTCTGGGTGGAAGTGGTCAGAACAGCAATGGCGGACCAGAGCCTTCTCGCTGCTCCGCTGTCAGAGTTCTTCCTGGTCTTGGCGCCGCGTGCACTCCATCCCTCTCGCCCAGCCTCGGGCAGATCTGTTCTGTGTACCCAGCACCCTGCCTCTCCACACCCACCACCCTAGAGTGCAGGCTCAGGCAGCTGCAGCCCACAGTCGCGTCTCCACTTGTAGGAGGAAAGTGGGATCTGTGGGGAGACACTGCTTCAGATGGGGACTCAAACTGGAGAGCCTTGGAATGCGGGATCCCTGGTCTCCTTCATTCCTCCAGCAGACCTGGAGAACCTCAATTGTATAATTCGCTGTGATATCGGGGTCTCAAAAGCCAAACTGAGTTCCTCAAGCCAACACTCCTCTGTGATGAGAGAAAATTGCTACAATTCCAATATGTCTCCGCCTAGCCAAACTCAGAATAAGTGATAATGAAAGCCATGAGAATTGAGGGAAAAGTTTTCCAGGTGTGGTGGTGCACACCTGAACTCCCAGCATTTGACAGGCTGAAGCAGGAATCTAGCTGCAAGGTCCAAGCCAGCCTGGGCTACATAGTGAGTTGAAGGCCAACATGAACTATGAAAAGAAAAGAAAGGTTTGACTTTGCTGGAGATGTGAATTATTGGGGAGTGTTTGCCAAGCAGGTAGTTACATACACAGCAAAGCAAAAAAAAAATCGTTTATTTAGGTGGCACCTTTACTAACAAAAGACCACATAAATGGGGCCTTCCCGTAGAGTTTAGAGTGCTGAGAGACATGGAGAAGATATGAATGTATTAGGAAGAGCAGGAGGTGTTCCCGTTAAGAAAGACTTCCAAAAGGGGCTGCCTGTTACACAGAGTGACAATCATTGAACTTGGGACTGTACATGGACATGTGATTTGGTAGGAGTGGAAAGGCAGAGGAGTGACATCTCATCTAATTGCTATGCTTCTTGGACTGTAGATACTGTTTTAAGAACTGAATTGCAAATTGAGGTGGACTTTATATTAAAGGAGTATTGTAGTAGGAGTAAAGCCTGAAATGTGAGATCTGAGTGAATAGTGATAAAAGTTTTCTCTGCAGATTGAAGCAAATGAGAGGAGAAAGTGGAAAAGGAGGGGATGGTGACGGTGGTAAAATCTACACCTATGACAGTGATGGTCTTCCCCTGAGGTCAGGTTGTTGTTAGTGTGACAATAAAGGAATTGTGTGCCAGCTCGATCTGAGCATGGCTCAGACATCACAGGCATTAAAGAAGGAGAAGACTTAGGAAAATTTACATAAATATACACTTTTGTTACTACTGATCAGGTAACCTAATTAATTTTTTTTTAATTTTTTGAAACAGTGTCCTGGTATGTAGTTCAAACTGTCTTTGAGCTTACTATGTAGCCCAGATTTGCATTCAACTTGTAGCAATGCTCCTGACTCAGCCTCCTGAGTGCTGAGACTAGAGGTGTATGCCAGCACAGCCATCTCTAATTGTTTGAGGAAAAACTGGAAATTAGAAAATAATATTTTAGTTTCGTATTTCATATTTTTGCCTCGTATCTGCCTGGAGTGTGCCCTTGAATATTTGTGCTGAAAGAAATCAGGTTTATTTGGTAGATAAAATGTACAATTTATCACCATAAATAGATGATCAGTCACCTGTTCCTCTTGATATGTACTGCCAACCATAACAAATCTCACTTTAGAATAAAGCAAAAGTATTTCTTGATAATTCTTATAAATGTAGTGTGTCTGTATATTATCTCATGTTCAGACTTAAATGAATGTAACTCTACAGTGTGTCCTAGAAAATGAAAAGGGAAACTTATTTTTTTTATTTGAGACTTGAAGTATAAAGTGATGTCTTTTGTTTTTTGAAGGTTTTGAGAGCTACTTCTTTATACAGTGCCTTCTGATTTGGAATTATGTAGCTTTGTTGAATTTATAGTTGCTTCACTATTATTAAAATATAATAGTATTAAGGTTATAATATGACTATAATACCCACACTTTGGAGGCTGAGGCAGGAGGAGCACTGTGCATTCAAGGCCATCCTGGAGTACATATCAAGACCCTGTCTCAAAACACCAAATATATATATTTTGAAGGATTTATAGCATATCACATCATCAAATCTAAGTCTGTTCATCATTTTCTACATATTCAGATCATCTCCAATTTGTTTTTCTGTTTTGTTTTTGAGACAGGGTTTCCCTATATAGTTCAGGTTACCTTGAACTCATTGTGTAGCCCAGGGTGGCCAAGAGCTTGTGCCTCAGCCCACCTAAGTGCTGGGATTATAGGCATGTGCAGCATTCCTGGCTATTGAATTTTAATTAGTTGTAGTATTTTTCTCTATGACTGTGTTGCAGATTTTTAAAGAGTTTTTGATAAGGATTTATAAAGATGGGTATATAAATGCTTAGAGATGTATCACTAGTTTTAGGAGTTTTAGGTGCCAGTAGTCTTTCCTTGACAAAGTGATATGTGAGGAGGATTTTTTTGTATAAAGCAAAGTAATGGCACAGATTGAGAGATGAAGCAGAGTGGACTATCTGTTAACTCTTTCAAGGCTGACAGAAGTTTTTGCAAAAATTGATACAAGTTCAGTCTTCTAATAAAATATATTTTTTAAATGTAGTTTCTTCTCTAAAATGTTCATCATATTCATGCCATAGGTACATTCTTGTACTTTTGATTCTATTAATAACAAATTTTTTTTTCTATTTTAAATTCTAGTAAGTCAAAAACTCCTTCTTAAAAAAACCTAAACAAAAGATCTTTTTGTTTCTTTGTAGTTATTGGGTGTATACTGACCTTGAGAAAAAAGTTTTGAGAGCTGTTTCTTTATACTCTGGCTTCTGATTTGGAATCATGTAGCTTTATTTTATTTTATATAAATACTGTAATTTTTCAGTGATCTCTGACAGGTGTCCTGGTCACCATTCTAAAATGTCAAATCTTGATAATTTTATCATCTGCAGATAATGATTTTGCCTCATCCACTTCAATCTTTACATCACTTATTTCTCTTCCTTGCCTTATAATACAACACATGAATTTTGGTTTTATGTGACAGGACAGTGGAGAGAGTGAATATCCTTGACTTAGTTCTGATCCTAAAATAATTCATGTAGAGTGTCTCTATTTAGTGTACTATGTGTTAGTTTTGTGGTATATGTGTTTTATTTAGTTATTAATCTATTTTGACTTTTTTATTGGAGACTTTTTAAAAGAAATAATAAAAATTAAGATTTAAAAATCATATTTATGCCAAGACTCAAATATACATGAGGTTTTTCTTTGTGGATTTATTTTTTGATACTGAATCATCATAGTCTTCAACAAAATATACAAATATTACTTAATTGTGTGTATGTCTGTGTGTGTGTGTGTGTAGTACTTCAGATTGAGCCTAGAGCATCACATATGGTAGGGACCCATGGTGCCACTTAGCTTCCTGCCAAAATGAGAAACTATTTTCTAATAAATACTTTTATGGTACTATTTAGTGTTTTATCCTGAGTTTGAGAATCTTTATGCATAGGTGTAACAACCTTTTCTTTTAAATATGTTGCCTGGTTTCAGGTAAATTTTGCATTAATTTGATAAAATTTCTGTAGTGACTTCCTACCCTTTTATTAAACATTGAAGACCATGCCCAGCTGAGCACATCTTTTTGGATGAACTGAATGTAGTTCAGTTGTAGAGAACATGCTTAGTGATGCTGAGATCCTGGATTACCTTTCCTGACCTTGCACTGAAAAAATAGAAAGTAAATGGAATTTGTAATGGTATTCATTCTCTACAATTTTTCATGTTTCTGTATTACAATTAAAACAGTATTTCTGCTTTATAAATGGAGGATGATTTTATATGTTCTCACAGAATTTTTGTAAAACTTGTGTTTGGAAACATTTTTGGAATGGTCTAAATGTATGTAATACTAGTGCATAAATATTAATAAGTGAATTAGAATGAATCATCTATAGTTTGCATTTCCAAAGTTTGTTAAAATTTGGAATTACAATAATTTACCTATGTTTTAATGATTTAACTATTTCTACTTCTGTTGCAGTGAAATTGTGCTATTTATCACTTGAATTCCAAGGAATCACTTCAAATATAATTTTGATTTTATGCTGCTTGTCTGACAATACAAAATCCTGCTAAATTGCTTATTTTGACCTTTAAATTGTGATCCTCTTGCTTTAGATTCCCAATATGCTGCACTTCCATGTAGGTAGCACCATCCTTTTCTTCCATTCATTATTTAACATTAACTTTTGGGGCTTTTTTGAGCCTAGCTGTCGCTCTGAAGTTCAGACTGGCCTTTAACTCACTGTGTACCGCCAGGCTGTCTGAACTCACAACAATCCTGCCTTAATTTCCCAAGTACTAGGATTACAGGTACATGCTACCATGCATAAAGGTACCTCAATTTATAATCTTAGATTGTTTTACAGTTTTGTGGACAATGGCTGTTTATGTTTGTATGGGGAAGATGGCCGTGGTCATGTTTGTCACCTAATATGGAGTTTGTGAACAGAAGCAGTTTTGCTGAACACTTTTGTGTGTGAATGGAATTGTTTGCAAACAGAAGCATTTGTGAACTGAGGTATTACTGTATTTTTAAATAATCAATTGAAGCGAACACTATCAAAATTAATATTTTATATAACAACCCAATTCAAATGTTTCCTAGAACATGCACACTATGAGAAACCTGATCATCCAAGCCTGACTCTAGTTGCACCAATGCATGCACTTTCCTGACATCAGCGCTAAAACAAAACAAACTTCAGTAAACTCTGGTTTAAGGACTTAATATATTGATCTCATTTTACTGTATCACCACAGTGAGTGCTAAGACAATAATTATTAAATAGATAAGGAAAGTGACAGAATAATGCACAAAAAGTTGCTCATTGACGGAACTATTAAACA